AAAAGCTTAAATATCCCTTTGTAGTCTAAAGAAAGTTTATGCTGCAGCAGCTTTCAAAGGCAGGGATGTTTAGTCTGTTTGGTCCTCTCCCTTCTAATGGGATTATAGTAACAGTTGAGAAAGATTAGAATTTCCAGTAGCAGCAAACTAACAACACGGACCAGCATGTTTAATCAGCCGACTGCTTGTGTGCTGTCCTTTGATTTTTCTTCCTAGGCTTTTAGGCTATGTCTACACTGGCAGCTTGTTGTGGAAGAATTCTTCCACAAGAGAGCATCTACACTGGCATGTGCTTTTGCGCAAGAGCATCCGTGCCAGTGTAGCCGCTCTCTTGCACAAGAAAGCTCTGATGGCCATTTTAACCATAGGGCTTTCTTGCACAAGAAATTCATGTTGCCTGTCTACACGGGCCTCTTCTGGAAGAGCTCTTGCACAAGGCGGCTTATTCCTAAGCAGCAGCATCATAGTTCTTGCGCAAGAAGCCCTGATTTTATACAGCAGAACGTCAGTTTACTTGCGCAAGAACACACGGCCAGTGTAGACAGGCAGCAAGTTTTTGCGCAAGAGCAGTCACTTTGGCATGTAGACACAGCCCGTGTGTACTTAAGCACCTTAGGCGCTAACCTAGTGTCCAATAGCTGGGACAATAGTTAATACTGTGAGTCACAAACAGAACATACCATGGCACCACTCACTGGCAGTCTTTCCCTTTTACACATTCTAGAGCACAAGAGGTGTGAGAGGAGAAAGTACCATCTAGAAAGGCCCTGCACTTCTAATTAGCCTGTGACAATGGATCATTCTGTGATTTCATTTACCCTCCGTGCCTGCCCCTGCTACCCCCAATGGGGTTAGAGCTCCCCTTGGTCGTTGTACAGTATAATTGTGCCTCCTAGAGCTCACTCCCTTTCCAGGTTGCAAAAAACAATCCCATTGTCCTGGCACAACCAAACCCTGGCCTTGTATTAAGTTTAAGAGGAAGCTGCATATCAGATTTGCTGGTCCTAGTTCTTAATGTTTAGGAGTTCTTGGACAGACAGATGGACACATACTCTTTCAAATATATAAAAGATATTATCCACTTAACTGCACTCTAAACCTGCAGCAGGGACCAGAATCCTGTTTGCTTGGCCCCAAAGAAGAGTTTCAGAGACAGATGCACACAATTCCCCTCTACAATCTTTTTGCCACAAGCAGGAAGAGTAGCATGATCACCTAGAGTGTCTATGAGCCATTTAGTAAAGAAAATATGCAGCACCCAAGAGTCAGTTTCCTTCGGCACTCTTGATAGCCTAAAGATTTGCCCTTATGGTTCAGTCATTAAGACACTCAAAGTAATTAAACTAAACAGTTTTCTTCAGTTAATGACATTACACTTAACTGCAGGGGGAGAGCAGTACTCTTATTTGCTTTCTATCATTCACACTTTTTTCACCACTGATAATGATTCTTCAATACTGTGTAATCTCAGGTCAATCAATTGTTTTAATCACTGGAAATTTCAGATCTACAAAGCCTGGATTTTACACAAATATGCACGCAAGTCTAATCTTAGGGCCAAAACCATGAGATTAAAAATGACCAGTGGAAGACAGCTATAGTTTAAGGTATTTTGACACCAAAGCTGACACCTGCAGCTCTCCAAAGGCAGAATAGATAAGTTCCTGAGCATTATTTAGTTACTGCTTTGTGGGTCCTGTCACCCTACCCCTTTGATCAATCAAGACACCCCCCAAAAAATGGAAGGATTTTTATTGTCTAAAGAGGACAACAAGTATTTGATCTGTACAAAGGACACAACAGAATGAGTTTAAATACAGTTGGGAGGCAAAGTCCTAGGATTCACAATCCTCAGACAACATTTTATATCAGAAGCTGAACAGACAATTTAAAGATACACTAAAAAAACCAATTTGTTAAAAAGTTTCAGGTCTCCAAAGAGTCTATGGGTGCACATCTCGCAGCAGAGATCAAGGAGTCTTCTGTGAAGGGTCACAATGGCATCTTATTGCCTTCAATGCTGATTTTCACTGCATGAGCTGATCTGCTTTTTTTCCTGATATCTGTGAACTTCCGCATCTGTTTGTCCAGTCGACTTACCCCTTTCTTAGAGGTGCTCTGGTACTAAAAATATAAAACTTACAATTATCACTGGGCCGTGGGGAGAGGAAAAAAAGAAGAAAGTCAAGAGATTCAAGACAGGTAAAGCATGCAAGGTTAAGTCTTCCAGCACCCATTGCCCAGCAATAAGGGTTCTGATTAAGTTCCAGAAGAACTCCAACTGATTTTTTTGGGATGGACACACACACAAACTTTCAGATTAAAGCGACCATTTTATCGTCCACATAGTGGATAAATGCACCATTTAGAATAGTTCTCAGAAACTCAACACAGTTTAGTTCCAGAAGCACATTTCACCACCGCTTCGTAAACTGCTGGCTGATGTGAGGACATGACTACGCTTGGTGATGTTAATTGGTCAGTTACTAGGGATTCAATGGGCACCAATAATGTTGGAGAATACTAGGAAATGTAAGTGGAAACAAGAAAAGATGCCCAAGAAAAACTGACCACAAAATATTACTGTTTAGTACAAATGTGCTTGCATTTCCTTTCTGTATTTTGATGGTCTGCAAGTGGAAGGCTGATATGCAGCATCAGGGTAAGTTACTTTGCATAGACAAAAGGTACGGAAAAGTACCACAGAGGGACAGTAATGCCCTTTCTGTCAATACTCCGGGAGAATTCTGAATGTATCAACACAACAGGGAGTAATAATCAATTACTGAGTCAGGAAAAGAAAGGGATTTGGGAGATCTGATAGAAGCAGCTGTTCAGAAGCTCAGCTTTTACTAGTCTGTCCATAATCAGGCTGACTGTTAGTAAGGTAGCAGACCTCCAATACCTGAATCCAGACAGACATTTATCACAAAACAGAGAAAACTGATTCCTGACTGGAATTACATGCAGGGCTTCTCTGCCTTTTCATTTATTTTCTACATTTTTTAAGTGAAATATGAAGCTAAAAAGTGGCAGGGATATTCCATCAGTAGCTGCATTATTCTTTCTGGCCATCAATTTCTGCCATCCCCAGAACATAGAAACTTGGGTTTCAAAAAGAAATTCAGGTTAATATTTATCGCTTGTTCTCTCTCCACCTCAGATGATCTGTCTTCCCCCAGTCCTCAAAAGAGTCTTTTGCCCTCTACTGTCACTTACTCTTTAAGGGCCCCGCAACACAATCACTTCCTAGGCCAAAGAGGATTGAACGATCTTTTCTTTTAGATCTTGTTCATACTACTAGAAACTCAGCCACAGAGGTCACTATGGAGTAACAATGAAGTACTAAATTAAGTGTGAAGAATGCTAGTTCTGTGTCATTTCCTAGGTAACTATCTGTTTAATGAGGGCCTCTAATTGGGCACGTTTTACGATACACCTGCTCATCTCAGATGGCTTCCTTTTCCTTGGATCCCTACAAAAGGTATTTTTGAAGATGGGTATTTTAAATAATACCTGCCGTAAGGGCATGTGAAAGCTACCGTGGCAGGATCATTGCAGAAGTTATGTGCTACATCAGATTATTTTCTGCATCAATTTTCCCTGCAGGACACAGTACAGCTATTAGAGAGATTAAAAGAGACGAGCCTCATACGTGCAGGTTAGTGAATTCACACTACGTTCATTGAATCTGCCAGCTGAAGCACATGCACTGTTCACACCTCCCTCACAAGATACCTCTAAAACTCAGGGAAGGCAGAGTGTCAGAGCTACAGGGGCATCCTGTTGCCTTCAATGCTGAACTTGATGGCCCGATGCACTTTGCTAAGTCGTTTCTGTTCAGCAAATCGTCTCTTGTGCTTTTCCAAGCGACTAAGCCCCTTTTTAACTGTTCCGAGCTAGAAACATCATGTCAATTAATGAAAAGGAAAAATGACGACAGCAGAATTTAATGATCCTTCGACTTACTTTTGATTTGCCATCTGAAGATACTGACTTCTCTATGAATGAAATGAAACTGCACATGATTAATGGATTAACCAAGGTGAAATATATGGACCTCAGTTAGTGGTGAAAGCTAATATTGACCAAGTATTTGATTCTTCACAGGTCTGGGAAAGCCAACAGGAAGGCCATGATACTAAAACTTGGGATGGGTAAGAGGAGTTACAGTAAGAGACTGCAAGATAGTCTGCAGGAGTAGTCAATTATTTTCTGTCAACGCAAAAATTTCTTGGTCAAGGTATAATCAAGGTCCAGAGGCCAGTGAAAATAATTTTTTAATATAAGTAAATAAAAAGGTCAATTCAAAAGCATCTGCCAGTCTAGATTTGTCCCATGGACTGCCCATTGACTACCCTGGTACAGCAACAGGTTTGCAGTCAAAGCCTTAACCTTGATATAAATAGCTGTTCCTCTGTGTCAATTATTGACTTTCATTTGATGTTCTAGGCGATAAGGAACCATTTAATAGGGTTTATAAGCAGGGGTGAGGAACCTCACGCCTGGGGGCCAGAGGCAGCCCCCAGCTTGCCTGGATCCAGCCCCTGAAGCTCAGTCCCCACCAGCACTGGGGAGCCTGTGCTGGCGCTCTAGCCCCCACCCCACTATTCCCCATGAGGCTGCAGTTAGAGATGTGATCAAGTAGTTGTGCAGATGATTAACTGATGAGCCTACACTTATCAGTTAATCTTATTGAGTACCAGCATCACCAAGCTTTTTTTTTTTTTGCTTCTCACTTGTGTGTCCCCCAACTGATTTTTCTGTGGGTCAGTGGCCCCGACCCAAAAAAGGTTCCACACCCCTAGTTTAGAGAGTCCATTTGTGAGGACTTACAGTCCCTTAAACTACAATAGGCACAACAATAAGGTGGTACACCAGGGCCAACGGCACTTGAAGCAACAGAACAGACCAGCGACGCTGAGGGATTTGGGCTTATTTAGTCTGCAGAAGAGAAGAGTGAGGGGGGATTTGATAGCAGCCTTCAACTTCCTGAAGGGAGGTTCCAAAGAGGATGGAGAGAGGCTGTTCTCAGTAGTGACAGATGGCAGAACAAGGAACAATGGTCTCAAGTTACAGTGGGAGAGGTCTAGGTGGGATATTAGGAAAAACTATTTCACTAGGAGGGTGGTGAAGCACTGGAATGGGTTCCCTAAGGAGTGGCTGGAATCTCCATTCCTAGAGGTTTTTAAGTCCCGGCTTGACAAAGCCCTGGCTGGGATGATTTAGTTGGGGTTGGTCCTGCTTTGGGCAGGGGGCTGGACTTGATGACCCGCCGAGGTCTCATCCAGTCCCCGGATTCTATGATTAAAGGATCAACTGATTCTCAGTCTTAACCACAGAGTTTCTAGATACAGGATGAGCATAAGAGACTAATTTCTTCCCTTTGCTCTCTGGCTTACCCTGGAAGATTCCATTTCCACATTCCACTTGGGTCTGACCACATAATCCTTGTTGGAGGGCATTGGAACCCTTGCACGAGCACAGAATCCAGGATCACCAGGTCGAAGAGCTCTGGGGAACAAAAGCAAGTATGTTAAACAGTCTGAGGGGGGAGCCATGTTAATCTGCATCTGCACAAACAACGAGTAGTCCTGCAGCACCTGAGAGACTAACCGATTTATTAGGGCACAAGCTTTCGTGGGTAAATAAATCGGTGAGTCTCTCAGTTGCCACTGGACCTCTAGTTATGTTCAACAGATCACTCTCGCAGAGATACAATCACGGTGCCTTCAATCAGCTGTTTTCGATCCCTTTTTAAAACACAAAGCACCACCACGTCAAGCATCTGCATTTCCATTACACAGAGCTGCAGTGAAAGAGCCTACAGTCTTATCATTGGGGGGAGGAGAGAATTTACTTTTCTTCTCCTGTTAGCACCTTCTCCAGATCTCTGCGAGGGGTCTGGCCACCAGAGCTGTACAGACAAAGCAGAATGGTACAGCTGCAGATAAATACATTAAGACAAAGACAGCAGCCTCTCTCCACCCTGACACAAAGTATTTTTGTGAGTTTATAAAGATGGCTAAGGAGCTACATCAGTGAACTCAAGGAGTGCTACAAGGGCAAACCACATAACTCCTGGGCAAATTTACTCCAAAAAAGGGACCAACACTAAACCCTTGACTATTTCCTTTGGCATACTGGCACTCGGTCCGGATCATGGAGGGCAGGCATAACCAACTCAACTACTGCTCACTAGGGACAAGGGAGCAACTACCTGGGTGAATTTCAAGTACAGTGATGTAGCAGCACATTACAGGAGTTAACCTGAACGGGATTCCTGGTTGTGACAGTGGTAAGAGCCATTACCATGCCTGTCTGCATCAGAGAAAGGAACAGACTTTCTACATAGATTACAACAACAGAGACTTGACTCCCATCACACATGGGGCTTCATGTGGCAAGAGCAGTCAGTCAGGAGGGCCCCAAATTTAGAAAGGAAAATCTCCATTCATGAGCCAATGAAAATTTGGCAACACGTGTTCAAATGGACACAGGTAAAGAGGACTGCCATCTGAACTAGGAAAGAGCAGGGTGTAGGGGAAGTCTGCAGATTTTCCCTAACACTTTATCAGTAAATTAGCAGAACTACCATATTGGTCAGGCTTCCGAAACAGTCTCAGATTCACAACGTTCTTGTTTCTCTGCGTTTGCAACTCCTACCTGCTCAATCTCCTTCGCTGAGGCATCTGCTCCAGATCCCTCTGCTCCCTTTCCTCCCTTGTCATTCCTTTGTAGTTTGAGGTAAGGCCAAAGATGGGGCGAGACCATTCATCTGTAAAGAGAAACATTTCAGTGCAGAAACAGTGTCACTGGGCATGTACATTTTCTCTTCAGAAAGCTTCAATGGGCCTAAATACAACTTGCAGCAGGTTCAGGCAAGTGGCCTTGTAACCAATACAGTTAACCACTTTCAGGCCTTGGCTACACTGCTGAGTTTTGTTGCCCAAGACAAATCTATTAGCAACACAACGGGGTGAGCCTTCACACTGCAATGCAACTTTGCCTGGAAAAATGCCCTGTTTCCACCCTCCAAGAGACTATCGTTGCCAAAGAGCCAGCGCAGCCACTGTTGTTTGTTTTGTGGACAGACCTGGCTTCTGCCAGTACCCCACCGTGCCTGCCCTCATAGCTCTGTGCGGTGTTTTGATCTCTGCTGCCCTGCAGGCAGAGCTCAGGGAAGTGTCTCAGAGCTGAGTGTGCTGCTCCATTTGGGGAGCAGAGCAAGCCCTCGGAATGCTCCTGCTCTGCCCTGCACGAGGAACACAGGGGCAGACAGACTGTGTCACGGGGGGAGAGCAGAGATACTGCTGCACTGCTTGGACAACCCTCACGATGCCCCCTGCAGACCCCACCGTGCCTGCCCTCATAGCTCTGTGCGGTGTTTTGATCTCTGCTGCCCTGCAGGCAGAGCTCAGGGAAGTGTCTCAGAGCTGAGTGTGCTGCTCCATTTGGGGAGCAGAGCAAGCCCTCGGAATGCTCCTGCTCTGCCCTGCACGAGGAACACAGGGGCAGACAGACTGTGTCACGGGGGGAGAGCAGAGATACTGCTGCACTGCTTGGACAACCCTCACGATGCCCCCTGCAGGCAGGTGAGGTGGCTGTGGGAGAACTCGGAGGGAATCCCAAGCGTCAGGGATCAGCTCTGCCTTCTTGACCACACGACGTGGGATATCTACCCCGAGTTCATTACTCATGGCACCCACGACGTGAACACGATCTACCAGAAGGAGCAAGTGTGAAAACCTTCTCCTGATTTTGGTTTTGTTGATTTTTGGGTGTCAATGTATGTTTTGTCGACAAAACTTGGTAGCATAGACAAGGCCTCAGTGTCCTACGTGTGTCAGGTCAAGGTGACTTAAAATCCAACTGATTATATTCTAAAGGGGATTCGTTCCTTTTAGGCATCCCTTCTCACTGATTACTAATAGCAGAATCTGCCTTAATTCTGGACAATGTCCAATTTTCTCTTGTATTTTCACATTTCAGGATGTTGCCCATCTACAGAACCCACGAAGAATCATTTAGTGTCATGAATGTCGAGGAATTACAGCATCTCATAGCAAGTGTGATTTCACAGAGAATGTATTTGTGTTCTGCTCCATGCAGACTACTACATGCAATTCTGCAGTTTTTATATGCAGTTCTGCAGCAAACGACACCAAATACAATGTCTTGTCAGAACTCTGAACAGAACAGAAAATCAGTGTATGGAAGAAACAGAAATTAAACCTCTGTGAGCAAGACACAGTGTTTTAGGGGAGGTTTACATACTTATTAGCTTCCCTGCCATGTCCTTGTTAGGTCTTGACTCCTTGGGGTGTTTGTAGAGATACATCACAGCTCGCCCAATCCCACTGTGCTTCAGTGTCTCTTGGCTCACACTAGGCAGCTGGAGGACAGAAAAACACGCAAACCATGAACAACATCTGACTGCATTTAGCGCCAGATGTTTAGAAAAACCAAGCCCAACAGCGAGCCTAACCAAACCGTTTATATTCTGTTAGCTTGCTATTTTCATCATGACTATAAGAGCACTCCAGAGATCTTTTAAAATCAAACAGCTGTGTTGAAATTTCACTCCACCTCTAAACAGCTGAAGGTTGTTATTCTTATTTCTAAACATCTGACATGTTCACGAACCTGACAATTCTTCTTACAAATATTAACTTCGTTTCTTAAATATAAAATGGTCTAAAGTTCCTAAAAGAAAATAACTCTTTTGTTTCTATTAGTGACCATGATCAGATAATCTGGCTTTGAATCAATAGTTTGTTGACAGTGACAGAAAGATCTCTTGAAAATACAGATCATAAAAGCAAGTAGTCAGGCAAATAGTTTTGTCACAGACCATAGTCGTGTCTTAAAGCTGCTGTCTTCCAGGGTGCCTGAGCCTGTAGAGGGTAGGAGGGTAAAGACACAAACAGGCAACTTTGGTCTCCAAGGAGCCAGTTAGGGGGACAAACTGGCCATAAGGAGAGAAGAAACGGACAAGAAGGGAGCAAAGTGCACTGGAAACTCCCATCTTAGCTTAAGGCATTGGGAGAAACAGTAACAATGATTAGGGAGAGTGGCAAGTTAGCAGGCCATTCCCAGGCATTCTAGGGCAGTGGTTCTCAAAGTGTGGTCCACAGATCACTAGCAACCCATGGGCTCAGTCCTCTCCCCTACCCAGCAGCTCCCACCCTCAGTCTTCAACTGTACTCTTACCTGCCACCCAGGTTCCCCTACCTTCAACCCACTCTTGCATCCCACCTCCCAGCCACAGACAGCATTCCCACCCCATCTTGCACCCACTTTGTCATCAGGAGTGGTTGGCTGGTGGTCTGTGGAAAGGTCTGCATTGAGCAGGATGGCTGTGGGCCTAAAAGTTTGAGAACCACGGTTCTAGTGTGAAAATAGCACCTTCTAGAGATTATGTTTCCAAACAGGTATTTAACAAATTTGGCTAAAACTGTATATCAGAACTTTGGCTTTGAATAGGTATTAAATTCCAGCCCAATTCTGGTACCTTCTTGGTAGTAATTAAAGCTGGCTTACAAACCTGTAAGAGAAGATTCATTTCTACATTGCTACACAGAAAGTCTAATTACACCAGCACTTTCATTTTCTGCATATACCCAACAGGAAATAAAATGACCAGTCACAGTGAGAGAGCAGGGAGGGAATCTGGCTGACAGAGCAGCTCAGGTCCAATATGCATACAGAGCTAGAACTGTCGGTAGCACCCAAACAGTGTGAGGGAGTGTGCGCATGTGGGCCAACGGGATATTTCTTTCAGTGCTACAGCCAGGGATTCCCATAATTATTTGGTTAGAGTAAATAAGGGAAAAATTAATAATGATGATCCAGATCTAGGAACTGAAGTTTCCAAGTTGCCCTCATGCCAAGCTTTGTTCAGCCAGCGAGGCACATTTAAGTAAGATAAGAGGCTATTCCTAAAGCAGACAACATTTGTTTCAGAGTTTGCTCCTCCCCTCTGCCTCACCACTATGACCAGTTGAGAGCAGTCTCCCATACCACATCTCACTACCTGCACACGCCAGGTTAAAAGTTCATAGAGGCTCCTCACTAAGAGTCAGCCTACAGGATGCAAGCCAGTCCGAGGCACACAGCTAGGCATCAGCTTCTAACCTCTTGCAGAATCTTCAAGAGTTCCTCGCGGATCTTTAGTGCTGGCAGACTCCGATCCGGAAGAGGGGAAAGCCACTCTTTGATGGCCGACATCACACCACTGTCAATGAAAGTTTCCTTAAGGTCCTGTCTGGAAAATGTAGAATGAAAAAGGTCAGACTTTCAGGAACAGCTCTGTCTCGCTTCAGAGAACTGGTGAACGCAAGTTCCAAAAAAACACCTCCTCTTGCTGCACAGACACATCCACTTATGAGACTTGGCCCTTGGTCTTGGTTTCTGCAAAGCAGACATCGCTCTATAATGGCTTCCGAATGCAGGGATAGAACCGCTTTCATCTTCTCTTACCTCAGCACTTACAGCATAAGCTACTGAACTAAAGGAAATACTTGTTCCAAACAGCAACTGAGTTCTATTAAACTTCTCAAACTGCTGACCAAAATCAAAGCTATCAATCTCAGCACAGATGGCAGCCAATACTTCACAGCACGTGTTTTCTATACACTGTACCTTCGGCATGACAAAGTATTTTAATTCATTTCAAAATAAGGGATCATTTAAAAAATTGTCTTTTTGGGAAGCCACCTAAACTTTAGCACTTTGTAGTGGAATGGAAATTAATCTGGGCGTTTTCATGTAGGGATAACATATTAATGTATTGAAAATGATTCCTCCAAATGGAAGTGACTCCCCATAATTTGTTCCCCACAACTTAAAGTGTTTAGATTTATTATTAATTCTTCTTATTATTATTATTTGTTAAGATTGTTAAATGTTTAGATTTATTATTATTATTGCCCCTTTAGAATATAATGTATTAGGTCATGTAACTTAGAACTGTTAAGAATATAATCAAGGGGCTGCTTGAAATTGACATTGCAGAGATACATTGTAACAATGCATTGTCAAGGCACTAACTCTGCTATGGGAGCCAAGCCCTGTAATTGACTAAGGGCATTGTTACATAATTGAAGCCGTTCAGAGAATGTTTTAAGCAATACCACCCAGAAACTTTTGTAACTACAACTTTTATTCTTATACAAAGTACTGTATGGGAAACATTAATTAGGGAATGTATGTAAGAGAGAGAGAGAGAGAGTGCTTGGACGATGAATAAATGGTTCTGAAAGGTGCCAGCCTGAGAATACAGCAACAAAGGGCTGAAGAAGGCATCAGGTGCCAGTGCAACCAAAAGGTGTCAAGTGGAGAAAACCAAGTACTGGAGGTCCACCCCATGAGATCACTGATGAGCACTTGGCAGCCACCCTGGAGACATCAGCATGATACAGCAATTTCCATAAACTGGCATAGGAAGACATTCCTATAAGAACTGGACTAAAAAACTATGGAATCAGAGTCCAAGGTTCTGCTGCCAGCCCACCAGGAGCTTCAGATGCGCATCTGATCAGGACTTCGCTCCCCACTACCATCACTTGTGTACAGAGTACCTGGCCAGTATCCTGTCACAAGCAACTTCCAGGCTGGTAACTATAACAAATACACAGAACCTGAATGAATGGATGAATGAATGAATGTTTATATGTATAAGGGTTAAGTAGTTAAACAACGTTGTTTGCTTCTATCTTTTCTTTATTTTTTTATTATTATCTTTACAATAAATGTGGCTTTTTGCCTTATCCCCCTCATAAGATCCTGCTTGCTTTTATTTGGTACAACATTTGCACGCTGTGAGCATCACCAGACGGTTACTGTATGTAGCCTTCCCAATATTCCCCAGGAGAATAAATAATGGGGAGAATCAAACACTTACTTTTTAAGGTGCATAACTACAGTTGGTAGCAAAGTTAGCTTTTTTAGCGCTGGTTTCTTCTGGGTATTCAGCTGTCTATCTTCCTGTGGGGAGTTCATGAAGAGAGAGTTTCAAAATAAGTCATCCAAAAGATGAGGAGAGTAGTAATAAACCCCTGCTCTTAAAACATTCACAATAAAAACAGTCTGTCTTGCAGTAGAATGGCTGTCTGGGAAACTATATAAACCCTGGAATTAACTAATTGGGAGGTATCCAAACACCTGCTTGTGGAGCAACTCTTACTTTCAGTAGCCAATTAGCTCGTTATAAGACGGGATTTTCAAGTCTCTCCTCCACGTCCGTCTTCTCTCCTGAGCCTTCTGCCTCTCTCTCCGTCTCTTTCTCTTCTCCCCCTCCTGCCTCTCACGCTCTCTCCACTCTCCTGTGTCTCGGTCCGGGATGCACGCTCGTCCAGGCCCCACTCCCTGGGCGGGTACATCACCGCCCCGCCACTCTTCGCCTCCCGCCGTGGCACTCGGCAAGGGGGGCAGGGTGGTGATGTTCACGGCCAGGGGGCAGGGCCTGGAGCCGCTGTCATGCCCCCCTTTTGCCTCCCACCATGGCGCTCGGCTGACTTCTGCACCGCTCAGCCGAAGTCAGCCAAGCGCCACAGTGGGAGGTAATGGTGCCCCCTAGAGGCAACTCGTCGCTTTTATATATATGATGTGGCACTAAAACCTGCTTTAAGGAAAGATGTCCGGCAGCAGTTTCAAAATTATTTAGCATTTTCTTTACAAAATGGTAAATGTAAATGGGGAGCTTCCCAATACACTGGGTCACTTTTTCTGCTTCAATTCTATTGTAATTCCAGAATCATATTTAGAGTTTTATAAAAGTTCTGCACAATATACATGGGGTCGCCAATCTCTAGAGCTATTTAATAAAGGACACAAGTCCTTACTCAAATAATACTTTAGTTATATAAAACGTAAGCATCAAGAACACAGAAAACATGACAACAGGTGCATTCTATGTAAAATGCATGCAAAGACCTAATTTTTAACCTAAGTATTGAGCAAAGCACTTCACATTATATTACTAATTTACCACCACCCAGACATGTGCTTGGGTATTTCAAAAATAAATAGAAAGATGTGGTCCCAGTTCCAAAGGGCTATTATCAAAGGTCCTAGAAAGACTTGTACAAGGGCCTGACTCTACACGTCAAATAAATCCCACTGCAGCCAACAGACCTGCAATCTTGGTCACCCCATGTTCAGTAGTGGAGCACTCTCTGGACCTGACTGGTCCTGGATAAGGGATTTTGCAGACCAGGGCGGTCATTTCTGGACCCTATGTCACCAGCCCCCTCCAGTCCTGGCCCAAACGCTGCCCTCCCAGCTGGCTCCCCCACTCTCACTGGCCTCACTGTCGTCAGTCTCTGTTGCCCTACCGGGCAGCCCCGACACCTCTAGTCTCTGCTGCCCTACCAGGCAGCCCCATCACCTCTGTGCACCGGCTCCTGCTATCACGCCGCGCTCCTACTGCCGCGCTGGGCAGCCCTGCTGTCTCTGCTCCCCGGGCTCCTACTGCTGTGCCAGGCAGCCTCACTGCCTTCGTGCACTGGGCTCAGTGCCACGCTGTGCAGCCCCACTGCCTCTGCGTGCCGGGTTCTTGCTGCAGAGCCTGGCTCCTGCTGCTGCTCCGGGCAGCCCCGCAACCTCTCCACCAGGCTCCCGCAGTCCTGCCTGGAAGCCCTGTTGCCCTGCCAGGTGCTAGCCCTCCACTCAAGACTCTCTCGTCCCAGAACATTCGTGGTCCAGTTGCTGGGCAAGAGAGTCCCGGTTAAGAGATTTTCAACCTGTACAACAATTTCCCTTTCTGCTTCCTACTCATAGGGCTATCCAACATGCTGGAAGTAAAAATCTTCCTTCTTTCCAGTGTTCTAACCTTATCGCTCCATTTGAGACACAGCTCTTTTCTGCACTTCATTTCTCACCTCCCCTAATTTCCCTCTCATAATGTCCTGTTTCTTTCAGTCTCGTTTAAACAATGTAAATCATGAACTTTTCTGTCATCTCAGAAGCCTGGAAAGGTCTCCTGCTCATGCTTCAAATGACCTAATTCCTTTTCTGAAATGTCTTTGGGTTACCTTTACCTCTCCACCACATACCCACACTACAGCGTGACTTTACAGATACTTAGAGACAAACAAGGCAACAAAAATACACTAAAGATACATAATCTGCTTTCCCTGAAAAAGGATGCTCCGCCATCAGCTGGTCCTTTCCCATAATTATATTGTCTTGCCATCACCTACCATGGTGTGCTGTTACCAGCAATGTTATAGGTAAACTAAAGAAAGTTTCAATCCCAAGAAGCTGGTCTAGAAGAGCAAGCACACAAATGATGCTGTATAGTCAAGTATTTTTAGAACAACATTAACATTGACTGAAACATAAGAAATACATTCTGAGTATTCAGGTAGCGGATGTGTAAAAATAAGCAAAGATATAAAACTATTCATAGCTGGTGTAAAAAAGCTAAACAATTGCTAGTGATTAGATCATAAGCACCAGATTTATTCTAATTTTCAATAGAAGAAAACTGAAATTTGGGTAAGTGAAAGGATTCTATGACGCTAAACAATTGCTAGTGATTAGATCATTTATTCTAATTTTCAATAGGAGAAAACTGAAATGTGGGTAAGTGAAAGGATTCTATGATGCAATACTAAAGTACACAGATTTTTGAAATTTTCAGCTGTTTGCAGTGTACCACTACTGAACATAAGATTGCTTCTATAACACTGAAAACAATTACTTTCCTAGTGAGCAGAAATGGACCTTAACCAATACTCCTGACACACGAGAAAACTCACCTCTGCAGCTTCATTCATTTTAACAATCATAGCACTGACGACATCATCTGCATCACTAATAAATGTGCCACCATCACGGTTCCGTCTGCGCTTCCCACTCATGCTCTTCTTCCTTTGTAGCATCATCTCAAAATCTGACATGAAGTCCATACTGAAATGTAGGAGAAGAGTTTGCTGAAAACTAGATTAGGAATGTTCCCCTTTCATTTCTTTTTCTGCAGGTAATGGTTTTTGCAAGCTTTTATAACGCAATCCAAGGATCTCCAGGTGCTCTACAAACATTGAATAAGCCTCATTATGTCCTTGTGAGGTAGGCAATATTCCTATTAGGCAGTCAGAAAAACTGGCAGAGAAAGTCTTTTCTGTGGTCTCACATAAATCTTCATCAAAACTGGATTAGCTTTGTTCTTCTGAAATACATTTTTCCACTAGGCCTAAGCATCTCTCTCAAATTTACAAGGAGAAAAGTATAACATTTGCACTGTATTCCAAAGGCTTGTGAACTTGGTGAGGTTAGATTTAGCAGGGTTTCTCAGAGGCTAGGTAAACAAAGATTGTGAGTGCTAACCCATCCAATAGTAACAAAATCTACAGTAAAAAACTTTTGATTGTTGAAACAGCCAAAGAAGGTCCACAGTTCAAATTTGTACAGTTTCAAGTGAAAGCGGGTATCTTAACCTAGTCCCTACCACGCATTTGTCAGCCTTACCAAGACAACTGTATTAGCCCCTTTTGATCAGAAGATACCTAGGACTGAACTAACACAAGTGGCATAGAACTGGATCCCTGTGAATTTTGGAAAGGCTACATTAGTGAGACGTGTGAGGTAGATCCTTACCCTATGCACTCTAGTTTATAGTCAGGAAATAAATCCCATTTTGCTCACCTGCCCATAGCAGCAGTATGAAACTGACAAGGATCCATAGCCCCTTTTGATCAGAAGATACCTAGGACTGAACTAACACAAGTGGCATAGAACTGGATCCCTGTGAATTTTGGAAAGGCTACATTAGTGAGACGTGTGAGGTAGATCCTTACCCTATGCACTCTAGTTTATAGTCAGGAAATAAATCCCATTTTGCTCACCTGCCCATAGCAGCAGTATGAAACTGACAAGGATCCATTTCACTTCTCTGTGCTGAAGCAGCTGCAACACAGATGTGGTGCTCTGTTACTAGAGTAGCAATATGCAAAAGCAGGGAAGGAAGAGGAAATATCTCTAAGTCTCGGCTTGACAAAGCCCTGGCAGGGTTGATTTAATTGGGATTGGTCCTGCCTAGAGCAGGGGGCTGGACTTGATGACCTTCTGAGGTCTTTTCCAGCTCTATGATTCTATATACTAATTGCATCTCCTTCCACATTTGATCACCTGCACTGATAGAATATCACACCTATGTCTCCAATGCTCCTAGATGTAGGACATCACCACACCAGTGGGCCATCCAAAACAGAGAATGAACTGATTAGATGTCAGTTGCACTCCGCTTCTAATAGGGAATTACTATCCGCAGGAACCGCATACAGCCCATTCGCTATGGGTTCAGAAGTCACTGACAAACCAGGTTAGAAAAGGAGAAGAAAGAGGAGCTGAACTGGTGGCAGAATACATTTCTTTAATATGGTCCCTTTTGTGTCTCAGCCAGCAGGCAGCCTACTCGGTATCTGAGGAGTCCTGTCACATGAAATCACATGCTGGATGATGAGAAGGGAGATATATAGTTGCCTGAGAGAAAATAAAATTAACACCTTTGCCATGGACTTACTGTTTTCCTCTTTTGATGTTGTCATCAGAGTCTGAATCATCTGCTGTCTCTTTCATCCCTGCCTCGGCTTTTTCTTCTTCCAAATCCTCCTGGTTAAAACCCTGGTGGTAAAGACAGTGCAATCAATATGGGGGAATTATTCTTGGGTATTTACTCACATCTTCTCAATTCACCCAGTACCCACATTGTCTTTTTATTGATCTCTTCTTCATGTCATAAATCCAGGCTAGTCCTATCTACAATAGGGGTTCTTATACAGACAGTGCTCTCCAAACAGCAAGGGCTGACAAGCACATCTAATTCATGAACTGCCTCCATGAATTTGAACAGACTCAGGGCTTATCTACACATGAAAGTTATTCTGGAATAAAAGTGTGAATTTAAAGTAGAACAGCTGTTCAGCATTAACTTTAGGTGCAGACAAGCTTTTAAAACAACAGTCAGCTATCACGTTGGCCAATGCTGTCTCACTGTTCCATTGTTCTCCCCCATTGGTCTATCTGTACCCACTGCAAGTTACTTGGCTTATAATTAAGATTATAAACTCTTTGGGATAAGGACTGTCTTTTTGTTCTGTTTTTACAGTTCCTAGCACAATAGGGCCCCTAGTCCATGACTGGGACTCCTTAGGCTTCTAAGGCACAAAATTAATAATAATTAAACTGAACAAGATCTATTATCCTAAGTTTACAAACTTACTGTAAATTCTTCCTCCTCTTCATCACCAGACTCACCAAATATATCTGCAATTAGGTTCCTACAAAAGTAAATAGTAATATATTTATATTTTCCATTTCTAACAAATAACCAAAGAATAATATGACAATGATTAGACTTGATGTTTGCTGGGTAATTACTGATGCAATTGTGTGAATACCTGAAGTATATCAGGTATGTCTACATGCAGCAGTGAAACGAGATTCCGAATTAAAGCCCTAAATCGAATTAGCTGGTAAACCTCATTGCAGGAGGAATACCAGCTAATTCGATTTAGGGTTTTAAATCAGAATCCCGTTTCACTGCACCATGTAGACACGGGCAGTTACTTCGCGCTAGTCAATTTCTAAAATGGCGACCGGACAGGAACATGCTAATGAAGCGCGGGATATTTAAATCCCGCGCTTCATTTGCAATTTCGGTTGCCCTCATTAGCCTCCCTAGTTCGAACTAGGGGGCTAGTGTAGCCATACCCCGAGTGATCTTTGTGTGGACATTCATACTACTATTGGGAATCATCCCTTTTCATTTGAGGCAAATCTCACTGTTCATTACCCTTTGGGATTTCACATTTAGAAAGACATTTACTTACTCTTGATCATTCCCTGATTCACTGTCACTCCCAAAAAGATCCTTCTCCTCCTTTTTCTTTACAGCATTGTCCTTGCTCTCTTCTTCCTCACTATCTGATGCTATAGCATTCTTCTTTCTTTTATCAGATTTCTCTGATGTATCACTCTCAGATTCTTCCACATCTGAGACAGCACGCCCTTTCTTTGCAGCTGCTAACACATGGAAACATATTAGAGGAGAGATAGTGACTAAGCTGAATCAATAATAAGTGGGCCTCCCAACTAGTTACCTTTTGTCATGTAGTTTTTCTAGCCACAAGAGAGAAAAGGAAAGTGCCTTTTTTTGGATAGTAACTTCTTATCCAAGATTTTTTGGACAGATACAGTGGCATTCCTAATCACATCATTGCTGACACTAATTTCTAAAACATAACCCTCACTAAAAATTATTTATACACTTCTGCATGTCATCTCTAAAGGGAGACAGTCATCTTGAAATCTAGGCAATTCAATAAGTAAAAGTGATTTTAGATACTATGGTTACCCTAGAGCCCCCCTGACAATTTTTGTAGTATTACCATTCATTCTATTTTCAAAATTTTATTTCTTTCTCCAGTTGTATGAAAAACCAACACAAAGAGAAACGAGTCTATACAAGGAAAACAGTGAAAGTGCTTTGGGAAAATGTGTATTCAAAGTATTGTCAAACACACAGAGTGACCACATTGCCAAAAAAACCCACCTTTTCTCAGATCTAAAATGTGTATTCAAAGTATTGTCAAACACACAGAGTGACCACATTGCCAAAAACCCCCACCTTTTTCTTATAGTTCTAGAAAACACATGTTACTTGTAAATTAGAAATAAAAATTAAGAGAACAATACAATTTTTAGCAAACGTCCCTTTTGAGTGCAGTAATTTAAAATGGTTTTGTGGAGTTGCATATGTATTGTTTCTCATTTACTCTTGTGGGAAAACTACAGGCAGTCCCCGGGTTACGTACAAGATAGGGACTGTAGGTTTGTTCTTAAGTTGAATTTGTATGTAAGTCGGAACTGGTACATATTGTAGGGGAAACTCTAGCCAAACATTTCTCCAGAGCTCAGTTTTATTCTCCCACACCTCACTTCCCTCAGTCCTTTATTCTCAAGCTGAGGTGTCTGCTGAGAAAAGCCGCTCCGCGTCTCCCTGGTCTGCTGGGGGGGCGCTAGCTTCACGTCTCCCTGGTCTGCTGGGGGGAAGCAGCTAGTGCGGGGTTGCCTCACCCCGTTTGTAAGTAGGGATCCGATGTAAGTCGGATCCATGTAACCCGGGGACTGCCTGTACTTCATTTTCAAGAAAAGAAATTCTGCATATCTTGAACACTCAGTTTGGAGTCCAGAAGTCAAGTTGGATTCTCTCTCACTCATACATCACCAACAATAAGAATTCTGTAACTGGAATGCAAGGATCAGTTCTCCTAGTGAAACACAAGCTATTATGGAATCTACCTCATTCTCCTGCAGTTGTCACAATGCTGCAGGGATAATATAATTACTTTGCTGGGCAATTACTAATACAACTGTGGAAATATCTGAAACATACGAGAACTGAAGTTCATACTCTGGACATTCACATTGCTATTGGGACTCACCTCTTGTCATCAGAGGCAAACCTCATTATTCACTACCATATGAGAACTTGCATTTACAGAGCTACACATTCGGTCCTATTCCCTGTAAGTAGTCATTCCCAAACAGATAGTAGTAAAATTTGTTTAGGCAATAATTAAATCCAAATCCAAATACATACAGGGAGTAACCCGGGGACTGCCTGTAGTAAAATTTGTTTAAGCAATAATTAAATCCAAATCCAAATCCATACAGGGAACAGACTGTTTTGGTAAGATGATGCTTTGTTTACAAAGCCACTTTTCAGGGTAGAATCATTCTTGAAGTGTATGATAAAAAATGTCAGCTAGGATACTGCTTAGTAGTTCATAGATCTGAAACTATAGACACTGCAGCCTAGCAACTATTCCTAGGTAGAACAGGGTTTCTTTCTAAGGAGGCCTATCTGAAACAGAACACTGTCAACCCTAAGAAGTTACTTACATCAAATTCCTCTGGAAAAAATTGACACCAAAAATATTCAAGTTCACAATTTTTGTTAGTCTATAAAGTGCTACCAGACCTCTTGTTGTTTTTAAGTGTATCCTGTACAGACTAACTCGGCTACCCCGACATTTCTTTTTCTGTGGAGTTCAAGCTCAAGTCAATACAAAGGGGGCAAAATAAAACTTATTTTTCCAGCAAATGATTTGGAAGCATTTACTGAATACCATCCCTCTCCAAGATATGTAGCCACAGATTACCAGTTATCAGGTGTTTAAATGTAAATTTGGTCTTTGGAGAAAGAGCTAATTATCTTTTATACTATTGTTTTTCATATACAGTAGAGTCCCTATCATCCGACCTAAATGGGACCAACACATGGTCGGATTACTGAATATGTCGGATACAGTCTCCCCGCAGAGCAGCATCAGCTATTCCATTGCTCTCTAGGAGAAGTTGCTGCTGCTGGGATGCTTCCAGGCAGGAGTGGCG